TGCGTGATAGCCACATCTGACAGCCTGTTATACTCACAACTGTACTCGAGGTCATCTAAATTGGCTATTGATCGTACTTGTTGAGTCAGTGTCCTTGTGCCTACATACCTAATCTAATGGCGACCGATTAACCTAATACTCAAAACTGTACGCGATATCGCCTACCTTGACTACTTATTGAAACTGCCAGGCCAGTGCCTATATGCGACGCTGTTTAGTAGGCCTCGGCTATGCGAAGTGTCCTGATTTAACTGCCAGCGATGGCCCGTCGTACCCATAACTGTGGGCGCTCCCGCCTATGTCTGCTGCTTATATCATCATGGAGAGCATGAAATCAGTGCTAAACACCGATCTTCACTGTCTTACCTGCCTGCTACCTACAGTGATCACCAAGCCAGTATCTATGCGGGCCGATAGAAACCAGGTCCCAACTATGCGTGACATCTTAACCACCAACGGCTGTCCGCCATACTCCTAACTGCAGTTGATATCACCTACTTTGGCTGTTTATCGTAATTGCAACACCTGAGTTTATGTGCAACGCTTAGTATAAAGTTGACGGTCTTTCGTACTATACGCGATGCCGCTACCCACAATAAGCATCAATCCAATATATATGCCGGCCAGTAAGAACAAGGACTCAACTATGGGTGATTGCATAATCTGACAGCCTGTTGTACTCACAGCTGTACTCGATGTCACCTAACTTGGCTATTTATCGTCATACTCATACTTACTCGATGCCGCTTATGTTTGCTACCTTAAGTAAACATCGCAACTGTAGTCGACGTAACCTACGTGACTACCTATAGTAACTGCCAGGCCCGCACACATGCTCGTAGCTAACCATAATGCCCCGGCAACACATAAAAGACTAACCCAACGGTCAACGGTGGTCATCGCCTGTCAAACTGCAATCACCACCCATTTTGATAGCGCACACCCAACTCCTACTCTTGATTGTACACCCTCGACCACACCCTCCGTTACCCGGAACAATGTGCTGTCGCTCACCTCGACTACTTAGCGTAACTGCTATTCGCGACGCAGATTATGGGGCCTCACCTATGCACGGCAACGTAATACAATGGCCAACAACGGCGCTCCATACTCATAACTCCACGCGCTGATAATGCGCCCGCCATAAATTTACGAAAACACCATTGGCAAATTGCATTTTATTCATTGGCATCACCGATACAAGCTTAATAGGTAGTCACTCCATTCTTCATATTCTTAAGATCCATTTCACGGGACAAGGATTTTGAAACGGAAAGTGGGCAAGCAATTAACCTTCGGGAACAGCATTTAAGCATCTGGATGTAATTGAATTCTATTTGTTTGCTTACCTAGTGGTTCATAATTCCCATTACCGGGATGAGGGATAAATGTATAGTCGTTGCGGATTGCCATGGGTTCATTGATTCGGCATTTGAGGCCTTCGAGTTACAATCACACGAATTCCTCGTCATCACGGGATTCGAAAGCAAGATCTACAAAGCGTATGCTAAGCAATTAGGCCTCAAATTACCGGTCTGCATCAACTCCGAAATTGGACAAAACAGTTTTATTGCGACTGTCTTACGGGGCAGACCCGGCATGTCCTCCATCGACCGATCAAGATCAACACCAAAGCAAGCTCTTTTAGCTGACCGGTAGGTAAACTGACCGGCAACTAATGGGAACAGGTTAATTGATATATGTGCACTCACTTGGTGGACGCCCCTGAAGATTTTCTCCACACAGTGGACAGGGGTCATTGCCGCAGCAATAAAGGTAATATGGAAGTCAATCACGTTGACACCACCAATCGGCAGGGTCGGTTGGCTGGCCACAGAGACCACAAGGAACAGCGTTGTTCGACTTCGAACGCCACCGTTTTTGGTTGCGGTCGCCATCTAACACCAGAGGCTGATTGTCTTGTACTAATTGCATTTTGACGCAACATCAGCTGGTAAAACATGCACGTGCAGGTTCCGGCCGAGGTGTTGACTGTCTGAGAACATTTGGGGGTTTGTACCACAAACTGCCTGTTACTAACAACGGGCTTCTCACCTTGAAGCGATCTGTCTGTTTGTATGTCAGATTTGGCGTGCATATTCCAATGTGCCTGAGAACCTGATTGGCGGCGTATGTCGTCATCCGGGAAACCACACGTAGAACGTAGATGTCTCCCTCCCGAATTTCTCGACAGTCACGATAATAAGTGGTGTGCATTTCATATTCGCTCATTAGCCATTCGCTGTGGTGAGCGACCTTTTGGACGGCATGCTCCAGGCTATCTGAGTGATGCATGCGCCTCTGCAAATGCCCGTTGGCGTTCTCAAGGCGGTTGTTTTTCACATTCCCCAAACGTACCAACCTACGTTGTGCATGAATGGGCCACTTTCGAGTGATGTGAGGCCAGTGGGCAGTCAAATAAGAAACAAAACTGGGATCGATCTGTTTGCCTCAAGATTTGCAAATCGTGGCGAAATCCACGCGAATAGTGTTTGGTGCACAATCACTTACTCAGCTGCATTATCAAAGCGAGCCATGCGGCGGAATATGTGACGACTGCGGTTGGAAATTGTCTGCAAAAGTTACACCAAAGCAACGAAACGTACGTGCTTCTGGATGGCTTACCATGCGTGAAAATAGCACAGCATTATGTCGCAGCCAAATACAGCTTTGGCAGCCCGTATCTGCGAAGTCATTTTGTCCATGACGAAGGTTTCGACTGCATATTGTCCACCCATCATATTCTTGAACAAGCTGAACAGCTTGCGCAATGGCGCAAAATGCTCACTTTCGACAAAGGCATACATTACGGGTCGGCCGATCCCCATGCCATCTGTCACAAGGAACGTGTAAATCTTTTAACGTAACAGTGAACGTCAGGGGCTCGAAATTTATTTGCCCAAGGCGGTTAGTACCGTGTGTAGCATCAACATTTATAGCGCCCGGGAAACGTCTTGAATGATATCTCCTGCGTTCGAGAAAAGCACAGGTGGCTATATCTGCCACCCTCCGATTCCACCAGCAGCACGCGACCGCACTCTCAAAACTCGGCTATGATGGACGACATGTCATCTAAGAAACCGACTAAAAGGTAACCAGCGACCTACTTAACAATGGGGGTCGACATTTGACGTGATAGTTACGCACATCGTTCGTAGTGAGTACCTTTCCAAAGTGGTCGGCGACGTACTGCCGAATCTCCGATGACGGAGCACCGTATTTCAAAAGGGGAGAACACTCCTTTAATTCATCATTCGTCAGTTGCCGGTTGATGGGGAGCCTGTCAAAAATAAATCTGCTGCGTGGATGGTTGTGCTCCAGGTAGTAGGAATTAACACTCAAGCAATCATGGTACCGGCGAATGTGGAACCTTGCCGGACAATCAGCACAACGTGTGCTACAACGTACACACAATCAACCATGAACTTACTAGGTGCGACGAATTCCACGGCTTCTGCTTCGTCTGCAGGGATGGCTGCTGCAACGGTAGAAGGCTTCTTCATACAATAGTAGCGAAGTGCTGTTCTTTTTGGAGTTTATACGGACGAAAACAACGTAACGTTTCGCCTGGTACTCTTTCAAAGCGAATTGAAATTCATTGAATGAGAAAAAAATTTGAAGAGCTCAATTCTCCACAAAATCATCCTCCGCATTCACGTACTCAGCCATAGCAGCCATTTAAAATATGAATATCGCGGGCCTTGAATATCGTGGGAATTGAGTAGATTTAAACAACTTTCATCAAAACTGAGGCCGTTTGGGAAGATCTCATACGCCCGAAAAATTACCATCAAATGTTAAAACTTTTTGTTAAGGTTTTCCTCCTTCGAACCACGGTTTCGGAGAAATTTTGGGTATGCGTCTAGCCCACGGCGTCGGGATGTTGTTGGGTATTAGGTAGGAGAGCAGCCGCTTCATGGGTATAGAATTAGTCAACGGACAGAAAAAAGTATGATGATGCGTGATGCTTCGCAGCTGCTCATGAAGGCTCTTCTAAATGCTAACGTAACAAACTAGAAAGAGGTGGCGTAGTAGGTTTGCACGAGCCGGGGGGCACACTAAGAGGTTCCAGGAGTTACGAAGCCTGCAGCGAGGTCATGCATTTACGTTTAGTCTAACCTCTACTATAAGAGCGTTTTTGTGCAGCAGACGGTGAAGGATGGTTAGATTCATCTTTAACTATCTGAGATATATTGGTTGCCTAGGATTTGGCAGCGGGAGCGGTAAAGGGGGGAGTTGGACCAAGGGAGCAGCTTTTTGGGGAATGAGCGTTGAAAGTTACCAATGTCAAGTCTGCGTCTTCGGGTGTAAAGGGAAGAAAATGCGAGACAGAATTCCCAGATTGGTCTCACGTGACAAGATAAAGACCGAGATATTCTCGGCCCATGTAGCCTTCGCCGAACATGCAGTCTTTCAGGCTTTCCGTGCGCCAAATTATGGCATCGCCTGAAATGAATAAAACGGGCTCTCTGAACGAAAAGTTTGAAAGCCGGTTCTGGCTACAGCTGGTTGCAAGAAAGTCCTCTTGGTCTGCAAAACCAACCATTACAACAGTGGGGCAAAATGTTAGTCGGCAGTGACGTCCCCGTAAATTCCTCTTTAACGAATACACCGGAGAATCTTTGGCCGTTCCGCGCCCAAATAGGACTTATGCAATAGAAACAGGAACTGCCGACTTAGCAGATGCTGCGGTGTCATCGGTGATCTGGAATGTGTCTCTGGAACTGAAAAACCAACTACCGGTGTCCTCTGGCGTGACCAGCAGTGCCCGTGAGGATGGTGACTTACTAGAGAGGTTAAGGGGTAGCATCGAACCAACTGCCATTGAAAGAAATTGGGTGACGACAACATTCTTGATCTACTTTGGATGGTTACCTTCTTTTAAGTTCCACAATAGCCGTTTCCAGATGGCTTCGCCGTCGAATCCTCGTTCTGGCTCACAATAACCACCATGGCATAAACCGCTTGAAGGTCCTCGCTCGCCATTATGCCCATCCAGCATGGAGAAGCATATGCAAAGGGTGAGTCGAGTTTTTTCTGGCGCGTGGCCGCTCGGGTGTTACCTAATGCACGTTAGCCGCAGATTTGGCTACAGACGGTCGCGCACCTGCCTTTTTTCGCCGGACCTGTTAACGATGAAGCATTCACAGTAATCAGAATTTCCGTCAGCAGGTTTGCAGGAGCTTCTGCTTGCTCAATGAGAAGACAAACATTGTGCCACCTGGTTTCCATAGTCTGCCCCCAAAAAACGTTGGCCAAAAATTCACTTGGTCTGCTTTCAGCCAATTTGATGTTTGCCAATGAAGGTCAGAACCACACAAGACGCTCCAACATCAAATCTCCCCCGCAGTCAAATAGCCATGCTGGGGTGTGAAGAGGGATTTAAGTGCTCCCCGATGATAACAGAGAGGGGCTGTATAATAGCACGAATCCTGATTGGCTCCTCACTGAACTTCAAAGCAACTGTTACGCCACCCACTTCTGGCGGTTTTCCCGAGCCGAAGCTATGGTGGACGACGTTTGAGACCTAAGCACGGCGCTGATCCGTCAAAACTTACGGGGACGAACCCAACATACCGACCTAGAAGCCATTAAATTGTCAAAGGTTGGTACAAGGCCTGCAGTAGTCGTAGTTTTCACCATTAGAAGCGCCTGGGTTGGGTAGTGGGTGTGGAAATCGAATTTACTCGGCTACGGTCTACCGGACACCCGATCCTGAAGATGACCGAACAGTCTTTCGATCTCAACCTTTTGTCTGAAACCTTTAAACTTCCTAAGCTGACTTCACTGGTGATTTCTCCATATGTGCCACTTACGACAGATCCATTTTTGTAACCGGGACAACAATGACAATCGAATTTAAAATGTCGGTTAGACACTTGTAGTGGTCTGCCTACCCGATAAGTTACTTTACCAGGAGTTTTTGGCAAAGAAATAAAAATAATAACGCTAGATTGGGTATACAATAATAAAGAGGTCAGATGGAGCAGATTCACTAATAATTATTCTCTTTAAAAAGGTTCATCGTTGGCCCAGGTCAGCGAATAAATAATAATCCACTCATGGTGTTCTAGGGGGCTTCTTCTGAACAGTTCCACATATAATAGATTCCGGAGGTGGTCTGAAATGTTTTGATACCAGAGTTAGCACATAAGGCTCGTGAATGACCGCTGCAAGCGCGAGCGAAATCAGAAGAGAGAGTCGAGGCACGTGACCAGGGTTGTATTGCATGAAATTGTACAAGTGCGCGTTTTCTGTAGTTTTCCGTATTCAAACAAAAAACGATTATGCGATTGATGAAATATGTGGTGTTATAGTGGAAGTAAAATGAAGGTACAAAACGCCACAAACTCTTGTTTTTTATATCCTGTTACTAAGCCTGATGCACGAAGACTACCTCAATATCCGTTTGGCGCGGTATTCAAGATATGGTACCTTAACGCAGTTGAAACTCAACTAGACCAGCGAAAGTAGTCGTAAGTTGAATAGCCAAAACTAGAAAGCTTCAGGAAGGTAAGACTATTGAAACTATCTCCAGAATCACTATAGCTCTGTGGTCACCGCCAACTCCGCTAACTAACCTAAGCGAAGCTGTCAAGCCTTTAGGCCAGAAAAACCATCTGTTAAATGGACATCAAAGCAGCCAATCAGCATCGAGATACAAGGCTTGGGAACCCAAACGCGGCCAAGGTGCAACGCCAACCAACCATTCGACAGCGGTCGGACGACCTTGAGTGCTGCTTTGATTGCCGCAACGTTCCCTGTAATCTGAACTGGCTTGTTCGTAACAGAGCTTTTGTGTTCTTCTCAGGTGAACTTTTCCCGTCACTGAAGCCCGGATTTGCAGTCAATTTTGAGAGTTCTTGGAAGGGTCTGGTAACCAGTAAATAATTAATTCTCCTTCACCGCGTGTCCTGTGATTGTAACACCGTCCATGTGTTCTCTCTTGTTTTCTCTTAATTGACAGACAACTAAACGGCCTGGTCTGCTTCACCTCACTCTGTTGCATTCTCAGGCTCTACGAGTACGTCAATATGTTTTAGTACCCATCAAAGTTTTGGTCTTGTTTCTTAAGAAACACCGGTGGCGTGTTTACTGGGTTCTAACTACTGATCTCATTCGCGTGAATGATGCCTCAGCTGGATGCAAGATCTTCAGCTTTATCGTCTGTGGTAAGTGTCAGTTCACCTGTGATTTTCCGCAGGATTTCATCCAGTTATACAGACGAAAGCCATCGAAGTTCGCCGAGCACATCAAGAATTGTCGTGGAAACAAAGCAGGGCTAGTCAGAATAGTGTCCCAAATTGAATCACAAGTACGAAAAGCTGTTCTGAGGAACAAATCAAACACGATAGACTCGAATGACGTGCTGTTAGTTACTGACGCACTAGCATGCATTAATGTCATTCTCCAATCTGATATGGCTTCTGTCATTATTCGGAAAAAACGAAGTCGTCTGGCTTTGAGCAGTATCCAGAAATTACTGAAGGGATTCAACCGTCCTTCATCTGCCAGTGTTGTCTCTCAGCGTAAGCTATTGTCTCTTTATCTACTGTGTTCGATTTTTTTTGTTTTGAGAGCGAAAGACTGCCGACCCTGGAGATTCGGAATAACTGCGCGATTCCCAAGTAGTATCGCTTCTCAACTAATCTCTCGATGAGACCAGTCCAGAGACCACTGGTAATGTTTGCTGTTGTGCCTCTAGCGAGGACCTTGTCGATCTAAAATATGCAGACATCGTTCTCGTCTTTGAAGAGAAGGAGAACGCCCAGACATTTTTGGATAAACTGACCAAAATCTCCCTGTCCTTTGGCATGCAATTTGCACCCGCAAAATGCAGGGTCACTCTCCTGGACATGCAGTCACTGAACAAGCCACTCACAGTCCAGGGAGAAGCACTGGAAGTTGTGGTTGTGTTTGTTCTGATTGTAGTGTGACAGATGAGATCAATTCACGAATCTGCAAGGCTCAGGTCGCGTTTACAAATTCGAGACACGTATAGCGTCAAAGTGGTGTATTCCTGAGTCTCAAGGGACGTGTGTACCAAGCTACAGTTCGGGCTGCTTTATTGTATGACTGAGACAGCCTGTTCGAGCAGCGGTATTCGACAATCGTTGTCTCGTGTGGATTGGTGTCGGCGTACCCATGACGAGGCAGTTAGAAACCGAGTTTTCGGTTGTGTAACGGGTACTTCCCGTTGAAGAATGTGTCGAGCACCAAAAGCTGCGTTGGCCGAGACATGTGTTGCGTATGCTTAAGCATCGCTTGCTGAAGGGGGTGCTGTTTTCCATGTCCATTTCAGAGAAGCGGTCAACCCGTGACCTGGCAGAGGTGTATGAAGAAGATTACGAAACGTTTGGGTGCTGCCGGTTCTACTCGCCTTCCAGGATGGGGGTCGCGTGATCCCCACTGCGCCTGGTTGGAGACGCCTTAATATATGACTGCCAACCGATGTCAATAGCGTTCTTGTTTCTAGTTTCTATCCAGATTGCCTGAATGAGTGTCTGGAGGTTTATGCACCTCAGAATGTTTGTAGTAACCGAGCGCTAAGACTTCTCTCCTATCCGCCTTTATTCTGAGCAGAGTGGGAATGCACAAAGATCTCATGCAACTAGATCAAGGCTCCAGAATGGTCGTGTTTGAAAAGGTTTGTTCAGAATATGGATTTAATATTAAACAGCATCATAAAGGCGCGGGATTCTCAGAAACTAGGTGGCAACATAATAGCTGGAAAGCAAATCTGATCTGAGATGCAAACGTTTCGCAAACAACTTAGTACATGAGCCTGTTGTTATGCCGGTTCGAACCAATCCATGTGCCACAACTGTATGGAATCCCGAAAGTGTACCACTGGGGTATTTCCATGTGGTCAATTTTGTCTATGTCCAATTCACCACATGACAAACTAGCAAAATCGCTGATTGGTGTTTTGAGGGCTTTTTGACAGCGCACTCCGAGACAGTTTTCATCGCAGGACTAAGAGGATCGAATGTTGCAGGTCAACACCTCTCCAGCCCTGTTATCAATTCGTTCTCCAACAATGTTTCATTCAATGGAATGGTTGACTTCATTGTGACTGTAAATCAGGGCTTTACACTTCGTTATAGGGTTTATAGAATTCCAACGGCCAATACTGTTTCGGACAGCGAATGTTGCCTTGAGCTTATAAGATAGCAATTATGTCGAAACTGCTGGGCTGCAATTGGCTGAATACGAACTGACGTTTTCTCGTCAAGCAGTGGACGTAGAGTAGAAACTGCGATTCGCTTACTGACTTTCCTTACTTTGGCGACATTTTACTCATCACTATCAGGAGAGTACGTTGTTTTTAAACGGATAAACCATGCTCATCAACATCGAGCTCGGTTGGGAAAACAGGGTAAAAAATGGAACTTTTCTTTCAGTTATTCTGTCGCAAGGTAGAGCCGTACGTTGTGCAGGGCTGAACCATGGAATTTGAGTCGCTTCCTCACTGTTGGCTTGTTTTTAATTGAGACGCGTTGAATCACGAAGCTTGTCACGCCTGCTTGAGTAGCCGCTCCCCCTGTCGAATGCCAGTTACCTGGGGACTACTAATATCTGAGCTTCGGGCATCCCTGATTTCGAACCTCATTCTTCAGTTGGCCGCACTCACTTCGCTTTGAAATGTCATTCACCACATGGGGCGAGATGGCTCAAGTGGTTGGCGCGAATTTACTGACCAGTGGCTCGAACCCGATCTCTACCTCTCGACTTCATCTGTCTAGGCTTGGGTAACCTGGCAGTATCCCAGCCCTCGTGTTTCCTTGGGGTAGCATGATAGTTAGGCACCGGAAGGGTGTTACAGCTGAACAATGTGTATGTATGTGCACATCACACATGCACCAGACTGCGTTCAGATCCAACTGAGTGTGCTTCTCGAAGAGATTTGGTTTTCGAGCGGTCTGTGGATTTTTACCCGATCCAAGGCTGTCACCTTTATGTGCTGTAATAATCCTGCGGGCTACACTGACTGGGGCTCAATTTTCCAGAGTCCACACATACCGGGAAGGCCAGCGATGAACAGTTCGACGAACAACAATGAGTTATCATATTGCAAGGCGGTCTGGAGGTAAAGTCGTACTGTTCTCCACAATAAGAGTGCAAAGGCTCTAAGGCGCTTCCTTCAGACGATCAGCGTCTCCATATTTACGGGAGCAGTGGTGCTGCCTTTCTCCGAGGAAGGGCTGGTTAGAAAAGGTCGGCGCTAAAAATCACGCACTCCGATTAACTGTGGCCGGCGGTGGCCGGTCCTGCTGTACGCAGCTGCATTAGGAGTGGGACAGTAATCCCTTACTCCCTACGCTTTGTGACGAGGCCCTCTGCAGCCGAGCAGGTCAGCTTATTGAGTCACCGGCTCCGGGAAGGGTCCTCCAAGAAAATCACAACAACCGCTGCCTCGCGGTTCGGAATTTCGATTCAGATGCTAGGGGCATATTTCATGAACAAAATCCGACCTTCCCACTTCCTTGCAGGTCAGACTCTTGAATCAACGCACTGCGATCAACCCATCTGCCACTTCCCTAGTCGTTTCCTATCTGAACCATAACCCAGAAAATAGACCAAAACAATCAGTCACTGATGACAAGAGATACGAGCCACATAGCAACCTTCAATGTCCGTAGTCCGCAACAGGTATCTCCTGCGAGAAATTCGCTTTCCTTCTCTGTTGATATGTGTTGTGTCTCCGATACACCCACACAAGATCCAAATTCTTATGTGCACCTCAAGTCGTTTAGGGTGAGCGCAGGTGTTCCAGATTTCACTATATGGGTATCTGGTGAGCCTGACGCAATAGCTGTTGGCATCTACGGTGCAGCGGTGCACCGTCACGAAGAGACTGGACCTTACCGTGGTGTGACGGTTTGCGCGCGCAAGCGATCCATTGAGCTATACTGGAGAGTGTCCCGCGACACTCACAGAGTCTCTCACACCAGGTTGGTCAATGGTTAGAGGTCTGACGAACACAGT